TCTACAGGGTATTTCATATTTAAAGAAAAAACTTTGTCTCATTTGTTGCTTAGGAATCAATCGATAATTTTTAAAATATCGTCAAAGTCGTATTAGCCAACTCCCCAAATTGGGAAAGCCAAATCGGAATTTGGGTCAGTTTTTTTTGCCAATTAGTATAATCTCATTTCCACATCATAAAACAATCCGTAACCTTAACCAAACTTTGCTTGGATTTCTTTTGAGTTGAAACCAGTACCATAAAAAAACACCAAAGAAAAATAATTTGGACATTTTTTCTATAAATTTAGTTTCTACTGATGTTGATTTACAGTTATCATTGGAAAAGAGCTTCGGTAGTTTGCTTTTTCAACCGGAATAGGCAATTTCCGATAACACAGGCTGGTTTAGCACAAGATATTAAAAATCAACAATTGAAATTGTTCGGTCAACGATTGGTCTATCGAATGTTTCAGAGCATCGCAAGGGTTCACTTTTCCGGTTATATTGCGATTTTTGATGCAACATCTTGGGGAATAAAAATAATTGCCCTCTTCTTATGATGGTTTTACGATTGCAACTTCAGCGCATCATTCCTGAAGAGTTGCAAGAGGTTCATGCAATGCGTTAAAACCAAACGGGAATTTTTTTAATTATTAATTTTAGGAAAATTTAGATATTAATTTTTTACAGCAGTAGGTTTGTCAAAAAGTTCTCGTAAGAGTGAAATTAGTGAAAATGTCAAAAATATTATTAAAAAGCATTCACCAGAATTAAAAACTATTTTCTATTTTATATTAATATATATGATTGTGAGTATAAAAGTCATAACTTCCTCGTTACTTAATGTTGTTTAACAAGTTTACAATTTAAACACATAATGATTGCATTTGCATATATTTCACAAACAAAACAACACATTCAAATAATAAGTTGTGTAAGTTTCCCTCATTCCGCTAATGTTTCGACAAATCCACCGCTTTGTTCAATATATATTCTTCCAATTGACAAAAAGAGCCTTTTTAAAACGATCCTTTCTGGTAAACAGAAGTAAGGCCAAAAAAGATCAGAATATCAGTGAATGACGTTTACATGGAATGTATGTTCAAGATATTCCCTAACCTACAACGTACTTCAATACCGTCCCCTTGGTATCAAATACATTCTAAGGGTAGTGCGTGTATGCATCAGAGTTGTTAAAAACTGCAAATGACGTTATAGAAAAAAGGGTCCTATTAATTTGTTTTTATAAATACTACACGGCACGTTTGTTGTTAGTTGTTGCAGTATTATTGAATTTGTTCACTATTTTCGTAATAGGGAATGACTAATATTTTCATTGGATGTCTATTATCAAAAACAATTGAGGCTTCACCATTCTTATGGGTAAAATTCTAACACGTTTTGACTATCCAACTTTCATTAGTTTGTCGGTGCATCCTAGACGACACGTAACTACAGTAAAATTTGCATTTTTGTTGTACCTAGAAATACATTTCAAAAATGAATAAATTTTTTAAATGTAAACTTTGTTTTAGTCAGTTTTTTGAAATAACATTTTTCGATATTGTCAAATTTGAAGGTACTTTACTCTTCAGTAAAATTCATATTTTTTGTCAAATCTCGTATACTACTGAAAAAAGCCAAACTTTGAGGAATAATTTGTTCCTAAAATTAATTCCCATATAGTTTCCAGTTTTCCAATTTAAAGTATTAATATATATAGTTATATATACAGTTGAGGCCACAACCTAATCACAATCAAATGTGTACGAAAAATTCGAGGAGGTGGGAGTGGGGTTAACCAAAGAGGGGCATGAACATGGTCTCAAATGACTGATTGATGAAAGCTAACGACTGTCACGCTGTTAAGATTGTTCGGTTAGTTTTGGTTAGTTTCTTAGTTTCTATGGATTAAAAAATTAAAACTTCAAATTTAAAAAAAAATGAAAAACGCTTAGAGAAATGTATGGAATCGAATGGAAATTATGTTGAAAAGCGAACAAAAAAAAACAAAAAATTTTTTTTTCTAACGTCTGATGTAATCAAGAATTCACCACTCCGATCACTTGCTGGGTGGGTGTACAAACAATACGAGGGCAGTGCCAAAATTTCCCGGCCTGAATATGAAAGAAACAAAGTAGAGTAACAATTTTTTATTATTTTTAACTTAACTTCAATACACTTATTACATCTCTTTATTAACAACTCAATTCCTTTAAAAAAATATTCTTTTGGTTTGTCTGCAAAATGAGCTAAAACAGCCAATGTTAACTCAACTTCGTCGTTAAACCGCCGTCCACGTAATTCCTTTTTCAAATATCCAAGAAATAATAGTAGCTGGGGGCCACATCTGGACTATAGGGATGATGATCTATCTGTTGGAATCCACACTCTAAAATGGCAGCTTGTGCAACGCTAGCAGCATGGACAGGTGCATTATCGTGCAAAAGACGCACGCCTCTGGTCAGTTTTCCTCGACGTTTTACACGTATGCAGTCTCGCAAATTATGTAATAATGTTGCGTAATAATTACCATTGACAGTGGTATTAGTTTCTTTAAAATCTATCAAAAGAATTCCTTCACAATCCCAAAAGATCGTGGCCATCACCTTTTTTATTGATTGGCAGGCTCTGAATTTTCTTGGAGGTGCTTCACCCGTACGACGCCACTCCATTGATTGTTTTTTCGATAGAGGGTCATAATAGAGAACCATAGTTTCATCTCCCGTCACAATAGTTTCTATCACAGGCTTCGGTTCCGACCCACAGAGCTCCAAAAAAGACCGCGCACACTCGACAGGGCGTTGTTTTTCAATAGCCGAAACGCTTTTAGGAACCCATCCTGCACTAACGTTATGCACACCTAAATGATCATGCAGGATTCGACAAACACTTGTATCAGAAAGCTTAGTAATTTCTGAGATTTCCTTGAGCTTTAAACGTCAATCACTCAATACCACCTCTTCCACAATCGCGACAATATCTTCCGTGATTACATCCACTGGTCGATCAGTTCTTGAATCATCTTCAAGGGACTTCTGCCCCATTCGAAAACGTTTTGCCCATTCTTTCACTACAGAATACGAAGGAGAACTTTGGCCGTACACACCATCGACCCTTTCTTTAATAATTTTAGGTGTTAACCCTTCTTTTGTCAAAAACTTTATGACTGCTCTATACTCAATTTGCGTTATTTGCGACATTTTTTTGGACACGACTTGTTTAAAATTCTGTCAATAAAAAACTATTTGACGCAAGACTTCAATTTTTTTTTCGCAGCCTACTAAGACATATATTTAAAAGAAGGCAAAGTTTTATCGTGATACTGGATCTGCATCTATATCAAGCCGGGAAATTTTGGCGCTAACCTCGTAGATCTGTTGTTTTAACTTTTTTTGATTGCTAATTTCGTTTTGAACGAAAAATCAAAAGGTGCTAATTAACTTCAAAGGCAACCGAAAATATTCAATGACATTCAGTATATATCAAGAATCATTTAATACAGTTGCTAAGATCACGACACGTTGTGTATGTGAATGTGGTGGATACAGTCACAATACGTGAAAGTCACAGACTGCACATTTGGCACTACGTTAAAGATGCATAAGTTTCTAATTAAAAGTCTGTTTTAATGGGTGGTTTTTTTCGATGTATAGAACTTTAAGTTGGCATTACTGTTCAAGATGGCGACCGGTTTAACAGCTGTCAAGTGATTTATTCTCAGTTTGGTTTGGCAACTCATCATGAATAGACTCACGCCTGAACATTGCTTGCAAATAGTGCAATTTTATTTCGAAAATAATGGTTCTTTGCGGAATACGTATCGCGCACTACGTTCATTTTATCGTCGACAAAATCGTCCATCAGAGCAGTTAATTCGATTAACCATGGAACGTTTTCGCACCACGTTTACTCTTATTGACACGCCGTACGGTGCGTACAGAAGAAGCTATTGCTACTGTAGGGCGTAGCATTGAGGAAGACCTGCCATCGAGCACAGGAATTGGATCTGTGTCCATCCACTTTATGGAAGATTTTGCGGAAGGATCTTGGTTTACGTGCTTACAAAATCTAACTCTTGCAAGAATTGAAGCCACACGATCATCAAGTAAGGCGTAGATTCGTTGAAACTAACCAAAACGAGATTGCCGTTGTTCCCGATTTTCATAAGCGAATTTTGTTTAGCGATGAAGCGCACTTCTGGTTGAATGGCTACGTCAACAAACAACCGCATTTGGAGCGAAGCTAATTCTCAAGTGTATGTCGAAACACCGTTAAATCCAGAAAAACTGACTGTTTGGTGCGCCTTATGGGCTGGTGGAATCATTGGTCCTTACTTCTTCAAAAACGATGATGGCCAGAACGTTACAGTCAATGGTGATCGGTATAGAGCTATGATTACTAACTCTTTCATTCCTGAATTGAATAACCAGGATGTCCAGGAGATGTGGTTTCAACAAGACGGCGCAACATGTCACACAGCTCGTGCCACAATCGATTTATTGAAAGACACGTTTGGTGACCGCCTAATTTCACGTTTTGGACCTGTGAATTGGCCTCCAAGATCTTGTGATTTAACACCGCTGGACTACTTTCTGTGGGGCTATGTAAAGTCATTGGTCTATGCGGATAAGCCACAAACGCTTGACCATTTAGAAGACCACATTTACCATGTTATTGTCGATATACGGCCACAAATGGTGGAAAAAGTCATCGAAACTTGGACGTCCAGATTGGAATACATCCGCGCCAGCCGTGGCGGTCATATGTCAGAAATCATATTTAAAATGTAATGCCACAAGATTATCTTTCGGATAAATAAAATTCATGTCAATCGAATAATCCATCGTTGTTTTATTGCAACTTAAAGTTCTATACATCGAAAAAAAAAACACTCCTTATAATAATGGCAAATATTATCCCTACTTTTGCTTGCTCGAACACTTTTTAATTTTAAGTTTATTATAATAATTTTTAATAGATACCGTTTGTTTATATTGCAAAATGTTTTGACTTACCGCTGGTATGGGGCAAGTTTTCTCTCTTCTGGTACCGTTCGAAAAAAAATCATCTATTATTTCGTGCCAGAAAAATTCTTTTAAGTTGTTGCAGTTGATTGTGAGCGTGATCAGTGGCACATCTTTGAATGCTCCATTAATATACACTTGAGATTTTGCAACCAACTGAAAAGGAAAATTTGTTAGATGGAAAAGATCCAAATTAAATTTGATATATGGGGGCCCACGTTTACACGTTAAATACATGTACTTACGAGACGTTCTGCTTGGGTATAGAATATGTCATTCAGTTTGTTCCCTTAATGCCGATCAACGCGCTTTAATCAATAATTAATTTCTTTCTAAAACAGTATTTATAGATTTTACTAAGTACTAACTTCCGATTGTTAAAATTCAAAAATGACGTTAATATTTGATAAAAAAAATGTTGCAAATTGTTAACAAGAATAATTTGCTAGTAACAATTTTATATTGTGTTTTGTGTGTGTTTTATATTGCGCGTAAAATGCTCCGAAAATGATGTTTCTGTAATTAATTCCCGGTACAGTAGACTTTCAAAGCTTGAATGGTTTTGATTTTAAAACAAATCTTGAAAGGGTATTAAGTTAATATGACTTTTCCAATTGATGGTCTCGTCAAAATGTAGTTTTAATTTAATCGTGTCTGACTACAACTTGTGACTAAAAATTATTAGATATTGTTCATATATCACTCCAGTGTCTAGCGCATTTCACAGCATTTTCATTGCACGTCCAAAGGTCCCGGATGGTACATGGGGCTTGGAGGGATTGACACGCTAGAAGGTGCTCCATTGTCTGGGATTCCCCACATACAAACGTTTCCTCTTCCACGTATCCCCATTTCAGGAGGTTGTTCTTGGATCTCCCCATTTGGCACCGGAGTCGGTTGAGGGTTTTCCAGGTACCCCAGTCTAAGTCAGAGCCTGCAGGAAGTTTTTCTTTTATATTCGAGGTTGCGATGTCGTTGATTGCTAGGCGCTGTGCCCATTTTGTCTCCTTGGTAGCAGTTTTAGAGGCTGTGAGGGGCTATGTAGATTGCATAAATCCTCGCCTTGATTTCAGTGTGGCCGCTGCCGGAATATATTGGTACATAGGATGTCTGGTGTCTTCACATTGTCTGCTTCGTTCGACCATGGCTAGGGTTTCCCTACGTATTTGCGGTGGCGCATTTCCGGCTAGCATGTAAAGCTGATCAAGGTTAGTGGGTTTTAGGCTATTAATCTGCACGTGTCATGCAGGACAGGGTCCAGTCTATGGGCATGTGATGATCTCTCCCATACGGGGGATGCATATTCAGCTGCGGAGTAGCACAGTGCGAGGGCCGAGGAGCGCAGGACGTTAGGGTCTGCCCCTCATCGAGCATTAGTCAGTTTCCGGAGAATGCCGTTTCTGGTGTTGACTTTGGCTTTGGTTTTATCGATATGCTTTCTGAACGTTAGAGAGCGGGCTAATGTAACACCTAGATAGACTGGGTTTGGGCAGTGTCGGAGTCTGACTGATTTCCATTCTATTTGTAGTTCCCTTCTCGCCTGTCGGTTATTGAAGTGGAATAGGCATGTCTGCGTTTTCGCTGGATTTGGGCGGGGCTGATTTGATCTGTAATAATCATTCAGTCTTGATAGGGATTATGTTATCTTCTCCTCTATCTCTGCGATGTTTTTTGACTGGCAGGTGATAGCTACGTCGTCGGCGTATATAAAGCTTCATGTTGATGGGCCTATTGGTTGGTCGTTTGTATAAACATTGAAAAGCATGGGTGCTAGCACGCTACCTTGAGGAAGGCCATTCTTCTGGTTCCTCCAACGGCTTCTCGTTCCTTGGAACTCTACATAGTATCTTCTGTTAGATAACATTGTTTTTATCACTTTCGTCAGCTGGTAGTCTCTTGTTATTCTGAACATTTTTTCCAGTAATATTTTATGGTTTATGGTGTCATATGCCGCCGTTAGACCTATAAAGATGGCCCCCGTTGTTTCCTTTCTCTCAAAGCCGTCCTCAATGTGTTGGGTGAGGCTTAGTACCTGACCAGTACAAGATTTCCCAGGTCTGAATCCTGTTTGCTGGGCAATTAGACGGTTCTCGATTTGGGGCCCATACTTGTTAAGTATAAGGCGTTCGTAGAGTTTGAAAGGGGAGCACAACAGTGACACCGGACGGTAGCTTTTAGCATCTTCCCTTGGTTTCCCCGGTTTAAGGACGGCTACGATTTTAGCTTTTAGCGACAATTTTGGGATTGTATTGTTGGTCAGCAGGAGTTATACATTTGAAGAATCCAGTTCTGGGCTGATGGGCCTAGGTTTATCAGGAACTCATTCAGAATTTCGTCTGGGCCTGGGGCCTTCCTGGCCTTCAGAGACTTGATTGCAGTTTTCAGTTCTGCAATGCCTCATTAGATTGTCTAGGCTGTTGTGCCATCCTGAAGGTGTGGGTCACTTTTACAGTTTGATCAGGCTCACCATTTAGGAGTAGTTGATGTGCGATTTCGTTGGCGGTGACATTTACTTGGTCTTTGGAGGATGTTGGGTCTCCTGATAGCTTTTTTATGAGGCTCCAGGCTTTTCTGCTACTGTGTCATATCGGGGCCCTCTATCGTGTCTTTCCATGCTCCCTGTCTTTTCCTGCTTATGGAGTCAATCAGCTGGTCACCTAACTGTATAGTTTCCGACGAGAAAGGATTCTGACTATAGTGTTCTAAATATTCCTCGTATGTGCCTTTACTTTCGTTGGAGAGACCGGGTATATAGCAAGTTCTGCAGCCACGGGGAATGCAGCGCCTCGCTGTCTTCTTGATTATAGAGATGAACTCATCGTAAAATGCTGGAGTCGGTAGAAGATTTCTAATTTCTTCATCGATCTCTTTTGTAAATTTGTTCCAGTCAGCCTTACTTAGGTTAAACCTCCTTTTAAATGGGACCTTCTGCGGCATTATTACTGGTCTGAATTTTAGCATAATTGGTCGATGTTGGGAGTGTGGAAGAGGGTCCATGACTGTTTTATTGCTAGTTCCAGCAACAGAGTTGTCGGTGAAATTAAGGTCCGGGTTGTAGCCTCTCATCCATCTGCCACTATTAAAGGAAGCGGGTTGTTTCTGGTCATGGATGAGGGTCATGCCATTGTCTTCGGTCCACCTCTCTAGAAGTTCTCCATCCTGTCAAAATATCCCCAAGTTGTACTGTGACTATTGAAGTCTCCTATTACCACATGTGGTTGGTTAAGATGTTGGGGGAATAAAAATCTCTCGTTCGATAGTATAATAACGTATTTTAATGCGACATGTTTACCCATCAATACTATTATTAATATTAATTAATATTAATATACCTTCTCTGGACAAGAATGTTAAGCATTCCATTTACCTCGTGCGCCATTGCACACTTGCTTCAATATCGCACCCGAGAATATTTGTTAGTAGTCGTTGTGTATTTTACCCAAGAGTAATAATCCTCTCGGAGTTACGGAAGTCTGGAACAGTTTCCTGTCCGTATAAGCAACTTCGATCGTAATATATTCGATAGAGATTTTAACCACCACACAACCGAAAACTTTTCAACTATTCTAAAGGGATTAAGAAAAGCGATATCCAATATCCAGAGCTTAGTTGAAATCATGGAGAACTTCTATGTTTTTATGTCAACGAAATATTCAGTTCAAAAACAGCAGTAATAAAAAACACAACACTCGGGTACAACCTTTACATACTCGTTAAAAATAATTTAATGAATCAAGCTTTTTACCAAATTGATTACCACATATTATTCAAGAAGGCTTCTGACCAGTTAGGATTCTCTAGCGAACTTGTTTCGGTATTAAAATAACAACTCTTCAATTGCAGTCGTTTTTTTGAGTTTGAGACGATAAGGTTAGATTTGATTTTGTCCACATCAAACATCCCCCGAGGGTCTAATTTCAAGCCAATTATTTTCACCATACTCATAAACAATCTTTTTTCGATGTTGAATTGCACCAGACAGAGTTGGATCTGATGAAAGGTTCGCGTTTCGCCCTCATATTCTGGTGGCCTGCGCCTCCAGAAGCTTGGGTTTTGTTTTGCCGAAACTGTAAGCATATTTTTACTATTTGCACTCCTATGTGAGGTCTAAGTTGGATTTTTTGTTCAATAATTTGGTCGAATCTTTTTAACTGTCATAATCAATATGTTAGGTCCTTCCAAAGGTGATTTCTTAAGTATGTTACGTTTAGAGAGGATGGGAACTTCGGCATAACCATATTCTCTCTGGAGATCTGCCCTTGACTGTGCGTCGTGATTTACAGTCACTCTCGTTTCTCCATAAACCCGTCGACTCTAACATTGACAACTTATTTTTTTGGAGCAACTATTGTCTCATGTTCCCCGTACAATCGCAAGACATCAAACTATCTTCCCCTTTGCATTTGCGAAGTTCAATATTTTGCTTTAGAGTGTCACTTTAGTTTTGTTAATATTGCCTTTTTTATACTTATTTTTGAGTTTTGAGCATTCTATATATGTAATTTACTTTTGCAAGATTTGCTTATTTACTTGTTTGAATTTCCTTTAAGTGAGCCCTGACCTGTTGGAAATAAGGAGCTTATTATCATCATTATTATTATGACTTTAATAGTCACACTACTGATAGTTATGTGTTTTATATTAAAAAATTATTTTTGGGACTAGAAGATGATATACGGTATGATCACCATTTTTATGTGGGAATCATATATTTTAGTTTTACGGGCTTGATGCTTCGTCCAAGCTATTGCCAATTGCTGTTCGAAAACGAATAACTTAAGTATATATTAAATTAAAAATTAATTAATTAATTAAGTATATATTAAATTAAAAATTAAATCAAAAATTAAAAAAAATAAAATAAAAAAATCCGGAGAAATACATGTTAATGTAGCAAATGAATTAATAAATTACCTGGGAGTAATAATAATTAACAAAGTTCATTTTAATTTAGCATTAAAGAAGTACAGCACATTTGAAAAATTTAAGATTCTCACCATTTCCATACAAAATAACTAAAAGCCATTGTAAGATATGTTAGTAGGAATGAAAGAGAATTAGGTTTTGAATAATAACGTACTTATTTAGGTTATTATTGAAAATTTGTATACAGTGTGATATTATATATATAGTATATAATATAATATTTAATCTTT